TAATGAAAATGAAAATATACATTTGAACTAATCATATCTTTAACCATAATTTATGTTGATGATGGAAATTTCTGTTTATGAGAATTCACTTTGTATATTGAAAACTCAGAGAGCAGAGTTGACATCCGTTTTTGACTGATGCAGGACCACTTTTGAAGAGGCATTCCGACATATGTATGGGTTGCCAGAACACATTGAAGCGCTTCCTCCCATGCCTGAAGATGGTCATCACTGGTCTTCTCTCCACGATTGGGTGATGCCGACTCCGTCTTTCCTCGAGTTTGTCATGTTCTCACGGTAACACTACTATTTTCAACATTCTTTTTTCAGTATATTCACCAAAACATCAACCATTTCCTCCAAACTCACCCTCCCATTTTAAATTGCAATGACAGGATGTTCTCAGAGTCTCTAGATGCATTGCATAACAATCTAAACGACACCAAAAGCTGCTCATTGGCTTCATCGCAGCTTGAGGTAAAAAAAAATCCAGATTCTTACTTCTTGACATGAACTCCTATTTTCACAAAGTTCTGATTATTCTTTTGTTTGCAACAATGAGTAGAGAAAGCACTGTTACTGCCGGGTCTTGGAACTGTTGGTTAATGTGTGGGCATACCACAGCGGGAGAAAGATGGTTTACATAAACCCGAGAGACGGTTCACTCGAGGAACAACATCCGTTACCGCAACGAAGAGGTTTAATCTGGGCTAAGTACTTTAACTTCACATTACTGAAAAGCATGGACGAAGACTTGGCAGAAGCAGCAGATGATAACGACCATCCAAGGGAAAGATGGTTATGGCCACTAACCGGAGAAGTGCATTGGAAAGGCGTTTACGAAAGGGAACGTGAAGAAAGATACAGATTGAAAATGGACAAGAAGCGTAAAACTAAGGAGAAACTTTACGATAGAATCAAAAATGGTTACAAGCAGAAGTCACTTGGAGGATGAAGACAGATAACTACTTTTTCGCACATTTAAAAGAAGATTAACGTGTTTAGTCTCCGACGACACATGAGGTCTACACGAAAGATATCATCGAAAGCAAAAGAGATCACTCACTCACTCTTTTGCCATTTTCTGGAGATTATAGGAGAAGAGAGTTTAGATTTAGAACCTATTCTTCCACCCAGTAAAAGTAAAGGTTTCCTTTGTTATTATTTTCTTTGCTGCCATAAAGCAATTTTGATATTGATGCTGCATAGTTTTCATTCATCTTACTATCATTACAACTCCACCAACCTTGGTCACTCTACCAGACAAGAGAATCTTTCAATTATTTTGAGATGACATAGACTAAAGAAAACTATAGAGTTCCACTTTTCAAATTACAGTCATAAAGTAATTGCTAAAGAAAAGTTTTTAAATAGAATAAACTTGGCTAACATTTGTTTAAAATCTTTTGTTAGTTCTCCTACAAAAATATTCGCTCTTCTATCATTTTGCATCATTGTTAACTAATTTAGATTAAAAAACTTTGGAAAAATGTATTTCTCGTACATATGTCGAAGATGACATGACATGACTCAAGACCAACAATGCCAACGACCGTCCTGACGCATATTCACTACCTCGTGTTTGGTTCTCATTAAGAATCTCTAGTGGAACCCTCAGACAACTAAAAGAAGAAAATCATTACAAAAGCTACCAATCTAGTACCCAATTTATCTATAACTCATTACTTTAGACAAAAGTATTTGAAGACAGACCGTTTCACATGCGAGTCTGGACTCAATCGTCCCCTTCAACAAAGCCCTTTTTCGCCATCTACTAAACAAAAACAAAGAGGGACCATTAAAAAAAAAAAACTACAGAAACTTTTGGAAAGCTAAGCTCCCTTTTCTTCATGCATGTCTACTTCAAAAAACTGACCCAATGAGTTAAACATTTATTATTTTGAGTACTGGATCAATCGAAATAATGAAGTAACGACTTCACTAAATCAAATGGTATGGAATAATCGAAAATAATCAACCGAAGTTGATGGGGTTTCGTATGTATATAAATGGTACCAATACTTTCTAAAAGTATTGATCTGTTATTTTATATTGGTTAATATTTTGTGGCCTTTCTTCAGTGTCTTTTCTTTATTTATTTTTTGGAACAAATAAAAAATTAAATCCAGTAAAAACATAAACTTATCTTATTCAAATGGACCAAAAGTAATAGTCAATATTCTTGTGGCTAAGGTGGGTTCGAACTCGGGTTCACCATATTGGATTCCTTCAAGTGTCTCTAGATTACCACCGCGTGGTTCCTGTAGTGATTTTTCGTGTGTAAATATAGTAGGTTTGGACAGTTGACACATTAGTTAAAAAGACAAGCGGACATTAAGCATAAACTTCCAAGAGAGGACCATCTTGATCATTATCCAGTTGGTGCGAATATGCTAAATCAATAAATATGCAACAGTATTTGATATGAAACTTTGGAAACTAGTTTAATAGTGTTATATAAAGGACAAATAGATTATTAGGGATACATGCACGTTACGTTTTACTTGCTTCCCTTGTCCCCATCGTACTTTACAATAAATAAAATATTTTAAAATTAGATCAATACCTACTAACTAAACCAAGTATGAGGTGTATTCATATATGCAAACAAATGAATACAATATATGGTTTCATGCATTGCTTCATGCTTATATCGAGTAATTCTACCTAGGAGTTTGCTCATATATCTGCCTACAGTCCAAAAAAAAACTGAAACCAGAACAAATTTCCTGTATATTCTATATAAAGTGTCATTCAAATTCTTGTCAAACCGACACTCAGTTTTAGAATTAACCAGTTAAATTAATATGTTTATGGTACTTGAATTTCTTACACATCATCATGTATATATAAAACATTAATCTATTGATCTTATCTATAATTTAGATCAGTGATACCAAATCATCAACAAACAAAAATGCTTAAAAGGTACAAACACTGGAGTATCAACTGATAAACACAATTTTTTTTTTCTTTTTTCTTATCAACAACTAAAGTAGTTCAGAAAGACTGATCGGAAAGATCAGAAGTGGTTTTGCAAAAATCAAAGCTCAAAAAAATAAAAGCAAAAAGCACATGCATGTCTACGTTAGAAAGTTTTTTCTTAGAAAATAATAACCTAAGTTGTGTTAGAAAAACAAAGTAAAAATGAAAAAAAAAAGACTGATATTCAGATATTGGGAAAGATCAGAGTGCTAGTTTCTTCTTATGTACCTTTGTTTGGGGATTCAGTGTCTGATAGTGCCAGTCACTTACACAGATCTACCCTACATCACACCACATGCCTCCTCTAAAGTAAACATGTGGCATATCTTTAGATGTATAGAGATTCTCTACATAATAATACGTAATTACCTTTCGTAACCAAGTCTGTATTCACTTATACATCATGTATATGCTGACTTTTAGTTTCAAATAGCTATATAATATTTGTAATTTATACAAGTCTTATAGATGAGGCATCATGGTTCATGGAGTCCATTGTAAGGCAAATATATAATATATAAAAGCCATGATTAAAACGAACGTGAGATGTCGTGCGGACCCAAAGTAAATATATTTGATCAACAAGAATCATAAAAGGATACCAATGGAATTTTAATTAATAAAAGGAATTACTTAGGCTTCTTCCTCTTATAATGGATCTTAATCGATTAGAAAAATATAAATTTGAACGATTGCAGTTATTATCCCATCCCAGATCGTAATATAATATATAGTAAATATATGACGAAGCTAAAAGTAAAATATGCATGTAAATGGTACTTCATGCATGTACAAAAAAGTCTAAAGTCTAAACACATGACATGTCTCAATAGTTTCTTTAGCGGTACGGGACATAAATCTAACCAACCTCTAGGTTTAGATCTAGAGTAAAACTTTGACCTTAAGTTTCAATCCTTTAAGTTATATACGTATCCCTAATTTTCAGATATTGTTTTTATTAATAAAGTTCCTATCATAAACTAACTAATGCTTTTTTTTGAGAAAATAAACTAACTAATACTTGTACTGTCATGCATGTTACTGCTTGATTGTTTTCCATACACATGCATGTTTGGGTATGTTCACATAATCACATTAACAGAACTTTGATTTCCTTTTACTTTTTTTCTTTCTAGAAGTAAAATATATATGCATGTCTATGCTGCATTGCATTGATAGAAGTTTGATGTTTTCAGAAACAAAAAAACTTAGTTAAAGTAAGAGTACTTATATACTAATAGGCTTCATATTCTTCCGTTTAGTGAATGTAACGCTCTCTAACAATACGAATATATACCCGCTTTTTACATTAAAAATAATTTATTCCTTAATTTTGCAATAAGATTTTTCTGTCTCTCCCTACTGAGGGATGCATCATGCGTGTATGTATATACTTTCTGTTACGTAGAAACAATTTAATTACTTTTCCTCATAAAAATAAATTAGAAACTAAAGTTAGAGTTAAAGTTCAAAAAAAAAACTAAAGTTAAAGTTAAACGTTTGTTCATGATACGCTAATGACTAAGTTTAAGAACAAACAATCATATTATTTTAAAAAGTCGACAGTTGATTGCAAAACTGTTTTAAAAAGTTATAAACGAAGTTTAACTACATTGTTATTTAGACTATATATTAGTCAGAAAAAACAAACAACTATCTTAACAATCAAACTAACTAAAGTATAAAGTACAAATTTATTCATTATGAGAACTATGGAAATTAACTCTCATTACTAATATGTTTAATTGGAATGTGGTAGTACTTTTATCTGTCAAAAGCAGTAAAATGAAGAGTAGTGTGGTTTCTTCTTTCATCTCTTATCTTTCTAATTATAATAAGATATATACACATATACAAAAGAAAAGCATGTATGTAAAGACAGAAGCAGATAAATATAAGAAACCCACTAGTCCACTTCTCTAAGAAGATTTGTCAAGGGACACGCCAAAACACAAAAACAAAACCTTCAAGAACAGATCAGTTTTAATATTTATATATATCTATAAACAAAAGAAATGGATGTTGGTTTAATACAAGATCTGCCCATGTTGAAGTTCCCATCACCCATCAAGATCCGTTCCAACAACACCAACATAGATGATGACGGCGGCTGCACCACTCCCACTTCCTCCGGTCACAAGATTCCTCCCTTAACCGCCACTACTCCTCCTCCTCCGCCGCAGAAAAGGCGCCCATCTCCGACGCCGTCGTCTCTTGTCAGATCTTGCAAGAGGAAGCTTATGACGTCTTCCAAGTTTGAGATCATAGTCAACAAAGATGAGATCGATCGTTTCTTCTCATCTGTTTACAATCAGACGGTGACGTCATCTCCCACCACTACTACTACGACGGCTCTCTCGGTGGCCAGACGACGGAGAAGTTTACGTTCTTGTTCACGAAGATGATCAATAATTGGGAATTAACCAAAACCATGTTAAAGGTTTCTTTCATTCCGATAGCTTTTTGTATTTTAGTTATTTTATGTAACGATTCTCAACTTTACACGTCGACCCACTCTGTACATATGCATGTGGATCGATTAGTGTAAACTTTTTCTTCTTTTTATTTCTTACTAATTTCATTTGAATTATGAGAATTTTCAATAATACAGTCTTGCAAAATTTCTAAAATAAAATTCGTGGCCACATATTTAAAATTCAGATTATGATATATCTCCTTTTGGTTAAAGCCTCCTGTGTTCACTAATAAAACAATTCAGGACAAACAAACAAAAAATCAGTAATGAAATTATAACATTTATTTGCTTAGTGGCCACAAATAAATTTCTCATCAATAGCTTATGCATGTAATATGGATATATGAAATTCATGCATTTATCAATGAGGATTATGAAATTTATGTAACATTGGCTATGGTGGTAAGGCACTATAACTAAGTAGCGATGCAAAAATAACCAGGTAAGTGATATATCACGAAAAAGAGAGTGAAGATAAGTTGCATTCGCAAGCAATTATTCTTGTCGGCCACTATACATTTGTGTAATGTGTTTCCATGTTGTGCATAATTATTGCCACCCGATGATCCAATCGATCTAAGTAACATTACATTTTGGTGTTAGTAATTAAGAGAAAAATAAATATTATTTACAGGGCACAATCGTGACATGATATTAGGTTCAGCTAAACAAGAGACTAATCAGTAAAATTAGGTAATACTAAAAAAAAATCTATAAATAATGGTGTTTTAGGTGTTGATTTGGTAGAATTAGATATATTTTACGTGTGCTTGTGAAAGACGCCAAGAGAAAAAACATAATGATGCCTTGATCCAACTATTTTAAATTAGTGTTTTTATTAAAATATAGATTGTTGCATATTGCAAGCTAATTAAGTAATATTGTAATCGAGTAAAGTTGATCGGAAATTCATGTTGATCTCTGACATTTTTTGGAGCCGACAAGTGAGCGATAAAAACGGCTTTGGGATCTGTAAATTAGTGTAACTAAAAGTTGTTGTGGATGACTTCTCGTAGATAATTAATCTCAAATTTATTAGGGCGTCCATCCTTCACGTACTCGGAAAATCGGATATCCACATCTTCATAATAGTAATATATACTTATTTCTATTGTATTATAATGAGTTTTAAAATATCTTTATCCATTCATTGATATTAAGTCAAGTACATTGTATATATAGGTTAATCCCACACAGTTAATGTAACTTATGTTAGTAGACAATTCACTATCAGTGGCATGATTCAGAGCCACTATTAAGATAACATGATGGGGTAGTAATGGAACATCAATTATACTATTTCGTTCTTAGCAGAAGATGGTCTTAGAAAATTATGAAAGAAAGACTCAATCTAACTATAACTGGCACTGGTCCAGTGGCAGTGGATTTACTAATTTTATTTAATGAAGGTTTGTCATATTACTCTAGATCAAAAGATCAAACTTTGTAATGTAAAATTATCTTCATAAACATGCACATAAACTTAAATTAAATTACACCTGATTTATTTTATATTGATATAATTGCCATTTTATGATTATTTTCTGGTGTTGTTTTATATAAAATATGCTTATAGATAAACAGTAGAATACAAAAATCATGCTTGTACTTTTATATACTACAAAATATTAATATAACAATTATAAAAGTATATTAATAAGTAAGTATTTTCCATGTATTGCTCTAAGAGAAGCAGTTCACCAACTCAACAGATTGGGTTATATAATGTGATTTTTTATGGAGACTCTAAAACTTTCTTCACTACAGCAAAAGAAAAAAAAATCTACAGAAAAGGTCAACCACCAATCATTAGCCAACGGTAAATCATGAACACTCTGTTTACTTTGGTAACATTTTAAGGCTAGCTAAACTTTATGTCAACTTTTTCTTTTATACAGTTTATTATATGAAAAGCCGATGCTGATAGCTTTCGCAAAATAAGCAATAATTCATTCAAACCGATCTGTAATTTCGTGGTTATACCTGCTTTCAAAATGTTGTCCTATGCACTGTTACTTATTATTTATCTCAAAACCATCACTATTTTGCAAAAGAATTTTGATTTTTTTGGTTGTTAGTAAACTAGCAAAAATCTGTTGTAAGCTTTTGCAACAAAGAAATTGCATACAATGTTGCAATCATCGTTGTCGCTTATGAATTGATCATTGTGTCAATCACAATTAAGTATCAACATTGGTGGAAAAAAATACTTTAACCATACATGTTATTCTTAGTAACCATACATGGAGAATACTTTAACCAACATTGGTCGACTTGTAAACATTGATTTGCTTAGTAACTAACTTACTTATAGAATTTTCGTTCAGCATGTTACTACATTACTGACATATATTATGGATAAAATATATGATCTTTAACTCTTACCAAAAAAGAATTGATCTTTACCAATGGGGTGACGCCGATCAGCGAGGAGTAAAATATTAACGCGACCTTGATTAAACAAAAGAGGTTAAATAGTATAATATACAGTATATACTCCAGTTTACATTGAAGATTTACTTTTCATAATCGAGATCTTATAAATGCGATGTAGATAAAGGTGGATAAGCACGATCACAGAATACATATATAGTAGTATTAATTTGTATGATCGTTGTTGATTGCGTTTGATCCGTTTATTTTATTAGATCGTGCGTAAATGCGCCAAAAATTAAACGTAATATTTTTATACACGCCGTAAAAATCAACATGATGATTATTCCAGGCTCACATGAAATCAAATACTATTAAAAGAAAAGATTGGCTAGTGGGGTTCAATAATTAGCCGGGTTTGTTTGCTGCAAATTTTTTATCATATTATATACGAAGGTTACAACTCACCAACATACACTGATTTATATACCTTTTTTACTTCTTCTTCTGGTTCATAGTGATCTATGGACACTAATAAAGAAAGAAAAGAAGAAGCTGCCTTGGAAATATAGAGGGAGAGTGGAATAAAATGTCTTCAAAAATGTTTTGTGAATATATACAATGAATACGTAACTGAATAGCTTATATATTAGGTTACATGGATAGAGGTGAAATAAATGGAATTAGACCAAACATTTAAATGGCATTGAAAATAGAAGGAATTGTATGGTACTGTGGCCAAAGAGAAGCCATGTCTACACATTTATAAACTAGGATAATCTCATTTTCACCACGTTTTCTCTTTAGTCTTTACCATTTAAAAAATTAACTGCTTGGATCTGTAGTCTATCTCCATCTAAAGCTCAGAGTTCATGTCTACTATTTAGCTCACCTAAGATTTAATAAATAGAATGAAGAAAAAAAACGATAGTAGAACTTGAGAAATTTAGAAATGAAATTTTTAAAAACGTCTTTAGTTTTCTTCAACCTTAGTCTTCTCAATTTAAATAATATTCTTAAAGAAAAACAATAGTCTTCTGGTATTTAGAAACACAGACTTTGTTTTGCATTTATAATTTACAAAATAGTTTTCACAACAAAGACAAATATGAACATTAAAATTTGAAAGAATCGAAGTCTGTGCAACTAAACTCTAATACAACTGCTCCTCAGTAGATATCATATTGAACATGAATAAACGTGTTAAGGACATCTCTAACCCAAATCTATTTTTTTTTAAAATTTTTTTACAAAAATAGAGTAACTCTAATTTATAGTGATTTTTATTCCAATGGTTCATTTTAAAATAGAGTTACTTTATTATAGAGGAGAAAATAGATATATTAAACCATTGGAGCAAAAATTACTATATAGAATTATTTTATTTTTATGGGATCTATAGAAAAGAAAATAGGTTTGGGATGGAGATCGTCTAATGGCAAACCGGTTAAGCGCGAGAACCAGTGGTTTAGCTGATTTTTTCTTTCTTGAATAAGCCCAACACGGACTCGTATACCTTGGGCTAAATAAAAAGCGGCCCAGTCAAGTAGAATCAGTTTTCATTTCTTACTTTTTTGAGTAATTCTTTTTCTCTTTTTTGGACAACAATTGGGTAATTCTTTAATTATTTAATTTAGAACTATACACATCAAATTTGGATTCGAGAAAGGAACTACAACTACATACATATAAATCTTTAACCCCAAAATCGAACATGTTTCCACTCAGACTCTCGTTTCTGCTGCTTCATGTCTTCTATGTACCATCTTCTCACCTTGCAAGTTCTCTATAAAATGGAGTAGGCTCTGATTACCTCCATGATTGGTGCTCTACAAAGAGGACATTTCCCTCCGTTTCTTACGAGCTCGTTCGCACATTGTGAGCAAGTACACATGTGCCCACATCTGCAACATTCAGAGCATTTCTCATTTCTGAGAGAGAACAAGCAAAAAAAAAAAAGAAAAGTAAATAGTTAGTTACCTATACAAGAGAGCATCAATGTGGTTGTCACAGCAGACGCAACAAGTCCCTTTCCTTACATGGATCCATCTTGATCCATCTTCTGATGTTTCCGAGCTCATACCTGCTGCATCATTCATTTCCTTTAACATATATGTACAGAAGAAGATCACCAAGTGGAGAAACAAAGTTCGTTGGATAGACTTAGCTACTCACCTTGGTCACCTGCAGATCGGTTTAAGGCTGCAGAGACCTCTTGTCTAACCGAGCGCTGCAACTCTAATTGCATATCCATGTGGGCTTCGAGCATCCTCTGCATCTGGCTCATTGCTTGCTGCAGTCTTGCTACGTCTCCTCTCAGGTCGTTCATTACCTCCCATTCCTAATGTAAGAGCAGTAGCTACATTACACCTTTAACCAAACTTATGATATTCAGTTACAGGTTCAAGGCTAAAACCCTATATCTTACCATTTCAGAGCGATGCATAGAGTGGCGAGACCAGCTAGAGTGATGCAAATCTTGATGCCATATTGGCTGGGGTGGTGGCACGGGTGGGGTGGGAAGCATTTGTGGACCATTGATGTCATTATCGTTCTGTAAAAATACTTGGTTGTCTCTGTCACGATCTGGAGAATCTGGGATTGCTGTTTGCAGGTTATCTTGCAGATCCCACTCTACATGAGTGTTACCTCTCCTTTCAGCATATGATTCTATCAGTTGATCCAGACTTTCACGGAATCCACTATGTAGTAGATTAGAAACACTTCTCCTACAAACAGAAAAAAAAGAAAATATTAAAAAAGAAAAACAAATCCACCTTTCGACAATATGCAGTTGAATTTTTCAGTACCTGCCAAGGAGCTCCCTGAGTTCCATGCTGTACACATTATCATCCTCAGGTGGATGGAACCTACTTAATCTTCTCAATGGTACTACACGGCGAGTCCTTGGGGCTTCTGGCCGTGTCTCAGTCCAGTTCCCATTCGATTGTCTAGGGACATCATCATTCCAAACACCATGGCCTTCTTGTGAGCGATCTTCATCATCTGTAATTCCAGAGGCTTCTCGGTGTAGGTCACTGACGGAGGTTTCATCATGGTTTATATCTGCGTTACCATTTTCCCAACCATTAGATTGGGTCACCGTTGTTTGCTGCAAATTTAGCCTCTCAACTACTGTGACATCTTCTTGCCAATCTCTATCTTCATTTGCTAGGTTGCTTTCCGACCTACCCGAGTCATCATCATGCAAGAGGGGACTGTTATTCCCTTGTCTAGAAGAAGTTGAACTATCATCGGTTATATGCTGAGAACTCTCAGCGGTAACAACAATTGTTAGAGCACTTGCGCTAATATCTCCATCAGTGTTGTTACTATTTTCACGGACAATACTTTCTCTCCCGTTATGGAACCCTTCCCTGTGACAGAAACAAAGCGAGGCTTGGGCAATTATTAACGAGCAAGCTAAATGCCAAAAGTACTTGTATAATAATATAAGATGTGAGGACAAACAAGAACACAACAAAAGATAAGAAAGAAAAAGAGGACTAAATTATTTAGACGCTATCTTCAATATGATGCAGAAATATCAAAACTCGCATTTGTATAGTCCTTTACGAGTCTCTAGTACGATTATGTTATTGTGATGAAATTAAACAGATTCTATTGATACTTTAGTCTCACCGCTGGAAAGAAAGTGGATGAAGCTGCATGAAAAAATTGTTTTTGTAAAGTAAGTAAAATGAATTCTTACCTCAAACCAGAGACAGTCTGTCTTTCTCTTAGCTGAAGAAGTTCCCTAGAAGCCGTTGATGGAGTTCTCTCTTGATCTGCAGGTCTCTCGTTCCGCAAGAATCTACCTCTAAGAAGCGACTGCAGAAAAGCTCAAGACGTTAGAAATCAATCTACAATCGGTTGAGGTGCTAAGAAACTAATAATATATGATGTTTGTAGTCCACTCTAGAACGACATAGCAGAACCCATCAAACTTATCCCAATCCAAAATACAACTACAAAGAATCCTCTCATTTGTTCAGCATGTATATATAACAAAAAATCATGCTGGAAAGATTTATGCCATCTTAAATAAACCTTTCATGCTAACAAACTGTGATGGTATCTCAAAAGTCTATGATGAAAAAATAATCTGTGGAAGAAGAGCAGTTCGTCTTCTAAAAACACACAAATAGGAATATAATAGTTCGAAAACTAACCTGAATCCGGTTGCGGTGAGCAAAATCAGACACTGCACGATGCTCCAACAAGCCCTGAAGTTCCCGCTGTCTCTCTCTTTCAGCTCTCGTGAGCAAATCAAGTAACGCCTGCCTTCCTCTTAGTCTCCGCAAGTCTCGACGAACATGATGAGGTTGTTGCCCTTCTTCATGGTTAGCAGCTAACCCTACACGGACCCTGTCATCAACTTGTGCACTGGTAACACTCCTATCAACTTCTGGGGCAACAGACACCTGATCTTCTCTCGGTGTTGTACTTGTACGGGCTCCTCCTCTCTGCTGACTGGTCGTTTGCATCCACTCCCTTATAATCCTGACTCTTTCCCGTTCAGTATCACCCAACCACTCCCCTCTACGAGTATTATCTCTCTGCCTTACATTTGAAGAATGATCATTAATCCCACTATCCATCCATCCACGGACAATATGCCTCACCCTCTCCCTCTCACCATCTCCAAGATCAGGAGACTGTTCTCTACTAGAAGAATTATTATTATCCCCATGCTCATTCCGACCATGTGACCAATAATCATTCTCACTCTCAGTGGAGTCTCTCAGACTCTCATTATTCTCCGAAGCAACAGAGCTAGACAAATTAGTAGTAGACTCAACACTCCTCTGATGCCTCAACCTCTCACGTGCCCTCACGTGCTCATCTTCCAACTCCCTCCACATCTGCAAGATCCCAGACGCTTGAGTCCTAGGCCTCTCACCACCACCAGAACCACCCTGACGCCTCGCAGACGGCGTAGACTGAGACTCCCTAAGAAAAGACGAATCAAGCATGGAGACAGTTTGCAAACCAGCCAAGGCAATCAACTCAGACTCACGGTTCCTCCTCTCAATGGTTGTAATCATCTCCTGAGCCTGCCTTGCAGCCCAACGGCTAAGAATCTGAGATTGGCGTCTTCTTGATGATTCACCTTCGAGTTGATGTCTCCTCCTCACAAGCTGATCATCATCCTCTTCTTCTTGGTTGTGAACAGAGCCGAATGAGATGCAATCGTCTAAGTGCCCGCGCATGAATTCCTCGAAACCTCGCTCGAAATCGGCGCGAACATCGTCTCTAGACTCTGATTTTTGCTGCAGAGGTTGAATACTTGTCATCCTTAGGCTTCAATGGAAACCCTCCAAAACCTAAAAAAATCGATCCTTTTGCGTCAAATTCGATTAAATAAGACAATATAGTAACTTAATCACGCTCAAACCCTAAAATCCCCAAATCACCCAAATGTCATCCAAATTGAACAATTTAAACCCAAATTCTTAAATAATTGTCATCGTTAGGCTTCAATGGAAACCCTCCAAAACCTAAAAAATCGATCCTTTTGTGTCAAACTCGATTCAATAAGACAATATGGTAACTTAATCACGCTCAAACCCTAAAATCCCCAAATCATACAAACGATTCACCCAAAATGTCATCCAAATTGAACAATTTAAAACAGAATTACACTTCTAAATAGAGAGAAATGGAAATTAATTTTTAGAAAAAAAAGGAATTGAGATTGGTGAGATTACCACTTCTTGGATGTTCTTCGTCAATGGCGAAACATTAAATAAGAAGGTGGATGAGAGAGAGAGGGGGGGAGAGATTTGGAGGAGAGAGAGAGAGAGAGAGAGAGAGAGAGAGAGAAACGAATGTTTTAACTTTTAAAGAGCGAAGCTGGCGATTAAGCAAATATAATCACTCCTTAAATTGTCTTTTTCTTGTAATTAATAATTCAAATGAATTACCTATTTTTAAATTTCTCTTGTCTACTTTTTCGCTTTGGTTTTAATTAAAAAAAGAAAGGGGAGGCGAGTCTCAAGGAAGCGAGGACGACCCCGTCTACTATTATTACACGTAGTAACGCGTATCTCATCTCACTTTAATGTATTAGCTAATTTTAAAAAATTATGATTAAAAACTCTGAAATACGCAAAGTAAAGACCATATCCAATCTATATTTGACATGGAATTGTTTTAACATTTGTTTATCATATATGGTCATCTATTTGGCTTGCTGGTTTTTTTCCATTTTATATATTGTTTTGCTTCCTGATTTTTTCCGAATGAACGAAATCTCATTACAATATTACAAGTGTTACATTAATAATAGTAAAATCAAACATAGCATCAAATTACAACCATTCTATGTAGACAAAATCTACTGCTATGATTTTTTCTTCTTTATGATTATGACAAAATGTATTGATCTTTCATCTTTGTGAGCGTTTCGTACTAACCAATATATTCTCACATGCATGGAGTGATTTATAAATATATATATTCTCACATCGTGGCACTGATTTCCGTCTTCTCTATCAATAATATTTGATATTTTGGACAATCTTGTTAAATAATATTTCCCATATATTATGAAATAAGACAGTAGGAAAATGTCTACGAGAAAGCTTACAAATGCATTGGGACGAAAGACAAAGTTGCATGGATTTTGGGTCTATGTTAGGTCTCATCAATCACATACGTCTTTCACTCACTTCAAGTCATACAACGTGCGTTTTCTTTTTCTAACATCTTCTTATGTTTATCATGATGATGTTTACATTACTATTGTGTTTAGAAGAGATAATCACTGATGTCGTAGAGATCTGTTTTAACAGTTTTGTATCGTCTACAGAATGGGGTAACCCATATATTGTTGACTGAACCAACTTAAGACAAATCTTCAATAATTTGTGGATAACTATCGACTAAACTGACACTAAAGAGTGAGTCTGAGTCTCTGAGAGCTGTATGGGTCTATGGTTGGATTGGAATATAAAATATATAGCATCGATGTCGTCCATGTGTTATTGCCTAGGGTTTTAGCAAAATCTCTGAAAACTAGAAAACTTATCTTATAGTATGATACAACTCATGTAACTACACTATTTGTCATTTTCAATTATTTATCGAAGCACGACCTTTGATTTGAGAGGGAACAAACGCACGTTTAGGTTTTAACGTTTTATGACATCTATCATTGTATCCTAACTTAGACACATTAAAATCGATATTTGTAGATCTAGTGGACATTTGCACAGATTTCTAACCTTTTTGTTTGAAAATTTTGATGCAGTGTGTGTCTAAAGACTCTAAACTATATATTTGCTTTAAACTACATAAATAAAACAAATATTTGACCTCTTACCTATCCTTGTTGCAAGATTTATCAACTAAACCAAATATTAAGAGGTAAGTAAATACAATAGAAGAAAATCTGAACCAAATATTTGATATCAAAGTAGTGGAACTTAACAATTTGCATGTAAAAACGAGAGGAAAATTCCAAGAAAAATACAAAGCAAACATATCAAACACAATCTTTATTGTTTCACAGTTATGTGAATGTCTTCTTTTGTTTTGTAACAATGAGTTTAAAACATTTTTTTTTCTTGATTTTGTCTTCAAAAGAGAGATGAGAAGTTTGATTTGGCACTAGCTAGGATATATGGCTGTCGCTGTGGGAGGATAAATGAGAGAAGATTTCTCTCTCAATTGCTTACAACATTTGCTTACTTTTTACTCATACTTATTGTATAATATATTTGAAATACAATTTTTGTCTACCATGAAGAAGTCATAATAAGTCCATATCATTAATATAAGTTATTTAATTATTTACACTAATCAGTTCAATATATTGAAGATATTATTTTAGTCATAACAAAATCTATTGAAAGAAAATATAATAAAATCTTATTAAAAATTTCCATTTTTGAATAAAACAATACATTAATTAATTTATTAACTAGTAATATAGTATATTATAATTTAATTTTTTATTAAAACAGAAATAAATTTCTACTTATCAATTTTATAATTATAGTCTATCTATTCTATTAAAAAGTTACTATTTTATCTACCATAAAAATTCATCAAGAGTTCATTTCATGAATATAACTTGCTTGATTATTTACATTAAACAATTGAATATATAATATTTGTATAAAAATTTAATAATTTATAATATTATTAACAATAAATCAATTTAACTATAAATTAAATATTATTTATATTATTAACGAAGTAAATTTGTATAAAATATAGACCATTACATATTAATAACGTTGCATAAGAAACCTAAACAATATAAGATTATAGGATTAACTAGTATATATAACTGAAATGAAAATTATATACTTAAAACGTTTACTATAATATTAAAATTATATTTGTTGTAAAATAAAATAAATTCCGCATTGAGCATGCAGGTCAAAATGTAGTATGAAATTAAAAGAAATGTTGTACACCTAGTCCTATAGTTGAAAATTGTGCAACTGTCTTTTTAACATAAGATATACTGCAACTTTGCATCTAATTTTTTTTTTTTGTAACTTAACTTTGCAAATTCCTTGCCGAGAGATTTGTGAGTTTAATTAATGCTTTTCTATCTGCTTGATATTTGTTATCCTTCAAATATTTCATGACAAACTGCTTCATTATTATTATATTTTTCCAAAATGAAATCATCTATTCATCTTAATGCTATAACAACGTTTGTTTAGTTTGAAGTTATTTTTTGGGTGAAATTATTGGTAAATCGTAGAGAAATTTCCTCATTAGATAAACATTCGTGCGTATATATATTTTAGGGGGTAACGTGTAGAAGTTGTCGATAACTTCAGATTAAAATTGTGGCTTCAACTGCATTAATGACGGTATCTTGACTTATAAATTTTATGTCGGTATCTTGACTTATAAATACAAGTGGATATTACACATTAACAAATGACAAAGAACAGACGACAAATGAAATTCTTCTGAAAAAGACCCAATCAAACAAAATCTGTTTAGAATAGGAACCAGCTCAGTTTTAACCGGGCTTACCAACATTCGAACAAACAGATATTTGGTACAAATCCAGAACCGGTTAAGAAACTTCCGGTTGGATTAACCTTGACACATTGATCACCCACAGTGGAACAAACAAAATATTTATATTGAGAAGGTTTATTCCAGAGAATACAAATTCATTTGTCTTCATATTGCCCAAAGAAAACATATAAAACATCGTGAATTTGCTAACGTCCAGATGCAAACTCCAGGAGGTAGAGGTTATCTGAACCATGTAAGGTAGGGTTTTTGCTTTACTATCAGATCTCGCCAGTCCCAAGAGGTTGCCTTGAAGTGTCTCCGGAAGCCCATGCTTGATAGTCTTTTGAGAGCTGGAAACGATAAAAAAAAACATGTCAAGATTAATGTTGTTATGAGTTTGCAGAAGGCGGATCACAAAGGTACAAGAATCATAGTCTTCCTTCATGCATTTTCTTCCGTGAGTTAAAATCAGATTTAACAATTGCGTTAAAGTTGATTAACCTGCTTGACCATCAACATGCCAATCTTACAAAAGCTAAACAGATTTCTCTGGCGAGAAGAAAGAGTAATACATGATGATAGTTCAGTTTAAAAACATAGTGGCCACAGAGCTTAGGGGACTAACGTTGATGCAGAATAAGCTCTTACAAGGTCACTAATTATATAGATATGTATACCCCTGCATACCTGAGACAAGAAACGTGGTAACATGAGTCTAAGAATCTGATCCAGGACTTGTGTCCCCGTAGCCTCTATTGCTCCCACTGGGAAAACTCTAAATGCAAAAGGAATCTCGATATTGACCTACCACCATTGCCAAAACAAGTCAGAAACACCACAACAATGCACTGATCAACAAAGATAAAGCACTTAGCTACCTCAATGACTGCATCTGAAGTAATCTGTTGCTCTGATGATCCCTCCTGAGTGCCATCACACGATACCCGGTTCACCATAGAAGCTGCATAACTAGAAAATAACAAACCTTAAGCTCCATTCAACCATCACCAATTCAGTAAAACAAATAGAGCTGATCACTTAGAGGGATATGCTTACCATCAAATTTGTCATTTTGAGCAACCACAACAGGAGATCCCTCAAGCTATATATATATATCAATAACAAGAAAAATCATCACAATCATAACAAATACTCCATCCGTTTCATTTTATTTGTCATTCTAGATTTTTACACAAAGATTAAGGAAATATTTAATTTACATATTTCCAATATAAAAACACAATTACCTATACACCTAACCACTTTTCAACCAATAGAAAAATATAATATTATATAAAACTAATAAATTCTGCCTTGAAATTTTAAAACAACCCTTAATTTGTGACAAAAAAATAAGTCTAGAATGACATATATTTTGAAACGGAGGGAGTATATAATATAAGCTATTTCTTTGATTCCAAAAAGAAACGGAGATAAACCTTGCAGGATAAGAGCTTGATGCAGCAGCCATTAGGTTGTTCTTCGACCCTAACAAGCAGCACAGGGCAGACTTCAAAGTTGAAGAACTTAAAGGTGTAAACGTAGCATCGAAACGTGTTATCATCAACTCTCTCAATCCTCTCCGCATCCAGCACTGAGTACTGACTCGCAGGTAAGCTCATATACTCAACTGCAATTAAAAAAAAAAGCAAATACAAAATCAAACAATCCGATCCAGATTCAGAGTTTACAGATCAAGCGAGTATTTACTTAGAGGTCGTTGGAGCTGGCGAACGGAGACGGACTGTTTCTGACGAGCGACGAATCGAGCTTTGGGGGAAGAGCTCGAGGAGACGCGAATAGGAGTAGATGGTGGTTCGTCGAAGGATGATGAGCAGGTGATGGTGAGGGAGAGAGACGGATTCCTCGGATTTCGATTTGTCTTCTTCGCCGAGAAGGAGAAAGAGCTAAGTCGAGTAGCTGAGCTCAACGCCATGGTTGAAAACGACGGCGTTTTGAGGAGGAGGGATGTTTTAAGGAGTAACGGCTCCTCAGCTTAAACACAGAAGCGAAGGAGAGAGAGAAAGGTGATAAGATTATGAGCTGACGGAGATCGGGAGGTGTGGCACCACCTTCACCACGAGCTTTCCACGGCGTATTTTAGTCTGCTGAAGTTGTCTCACTATGGTTAACATACGCTGAATATTGAAGGTAAGCCCAATAAGAGCCCGTTAAATAAATAGCTAATCCGCCTTCTTCTTATTTTTTGGGGGAAATACTTCTTGTTGGGCCAACAAATAGTTATTAACTAGAGGGCCCGGCATGGTTTCAACTAAAGATTATATACTTTCTCGTTTCTTAATATATGATGTTTTGGGTTGGTGAACAAAAATTAAGAAATTTACATTATTCTAAAAAACACTTTAAAAAATATAATATTATAATCATTTAATCAATTATAAAAATGACTGTAAAATTTTATTGGTTGAACAGTTTCTAATAAAGTTAAAGTTAACCTTAAAACCTTAAAACATATCTTAAAACTTTAAAACATCATATATTTTGAAACAATTTAAATCTTCTAAAATATAATATAATTTGAAAGAGAGGAAGTAACAGATTAACAACTATAATATTTGCACAAATCTAAATTTATGTTAAATATAAACTAATTAAAAGATTAAAGTGTAATGTAACTTGGTCTTCTCCAAATGATTTGAATAGTCCTAACTTGTAAGAGACACAGGTTGCCACTTCCCACTATAATTAATATTTGCACTTCATTAATTGACCGATCCAAATCATAAACATGCATTACCACCACTAATGATATACAACTATCTATTAAGTATTGTATTTGTCAACTTTGAAGTACAATTCACACAACAAACTTTGAAAATAAAACAGTAATTACTGTAAATCAACGTACAAAAAGATATAATTCCAAAGATATTCACTGATAATTGCTGTGTTTTTCTAAATACGTTTAATTGAGTAGCTAATTTGCCAGTAGATTTAGCAATTTAAAGGAAGTTGAGGTTAGTTAATGTTAATTAAAGAAAAAAGAGATAGAGAGGAGGCGGTCAATAATAATATTAAAAAAATAAAATAATGAGAATAAGCAAAAGCCTAGTGGATAGATAGAGCAGAGCCACCTTCCTTCACTTCACAAACCGCTCGGCGACAAAGACGACGAAGCCGAGGAATCCAGACGAGAGAGACGCACACATCGAGACCTTCAAAATCTTCCCTCTCAGATTCAGATATCACAGGCTTCTCGAAAGTGACGGCAACAGAAGGAGATTTGAAAATTCTGTTAGAAGCAAATGTAACCTTTTGAATTCTCTTTCTCTCTCAATCTCAGATTTGATTTGAATTCTAAGTATGTTTTTGTATTTGGTAAAATGTGGATTGGTTTGATTCGGTTATCTATCTTCCGCAGCGGCAATGGACTCCACCGACTCATATGCTGCGGCAGCTTCCACTGAAGAGCTTACCAAGCGATCCCCTGAACCTCTTGATTCTGAGGAAGCTGGTATTTCTCCTTCGATCTGATCTAATTGTTTGTGGTGAACAGAGATAATACATTTTAGTGGAATCTTAATTCAAATGTTTGTGCATATTGTTACCTACCTTCGTGAATCGGATCCGTTTTAAATATTTTTGTAAATATGAAATCGTTGGAGAATTTTGTTCATTTTCAAGCATGGTTAAATTACACTAATACATTTTAATGAACTTTTAGTTTAGTCACTGAACAAAATCTTGTTAATTTGTTTAGAATGTAATTTGACTTTTTTTGTATCTTTCAAATTTAAACTCAACTGCTCAGTACTGATGAGGGTGTTCTCTTTTGTCTTTTTAATTGCTTTCGTCTTTTTCAGACTCTGCTGAGAAGCCAACACACATTCGGTTTCTTGTATCCAATGCGGCAGCTGGTTCAGTCATTGGGAAAGGAGGTTCGACCATCACTGAATTTCAGGCGAAGTCCGGTGCTCGGATTCAGCTCTCACGTAACCAAGAGTTTTTCCCTGGGACGACGGATAGAATTATTATGATTTCGGGCTCGATTAAAGAAGTTGTCAGTGGACTGGAACTTATCCTTGATAAATTGCACAGTGAGGTAATCTTTCCGAGTTGTGTTTGACTAATTTGTATTTCATGTCACAGGACTCACAGCTGCGTTAACTAGTGTATATTTTTTATGAATTTTCTTTTGACTTTTCTATTTGTTTGTTTAGCTTCATGCTGAAGAGGGAAGTGATGTTGAGCCTAGGAGAAGACTAAGACTTGTGGTTCCTAACAGTTCTTGTGGAGGCATTATTGGAAAAGGAGGAGCCACCATCAAGTAAGTTTTTCTTCTGAATTCTATGAGGTTGTCAGAGACTGAGAGCTTCTATGCCTGTTTAACTTAACACCATATACTGTAACACACTAAACCACTATCTAACATTTATAACGTATCTTGTCATGTTCGTGCTTTTTTTTCGTGCTCAACTTTTCTCGGATTCATTTTAAGAGAGCAAGTATTTTCTTTGAATGCATGCAATAACAAGGAGGACCGTAGAGCAGGTGTAAAGAGGTTTCTGAATATTAGAGATGATTCAGTTTGAATACTGTTAGTCTGGGATATTTAATTCGCTCAAATTCTAGAATATGGCGTTGCTTTTTTTTGTTTTGGTTTTGGGGATACTGACTTCAGTAGTACTGCTGTCACCAACAATTTAAGAGATTTTTTTTCTCTTGTGACAGGTCATTCATTGAGGAATCTAAAGCTGGGATTAAGATATCCCCTCTGGATAATACCTACTATGGGTTGAGTGATAGGCTAGTGACGTTATCTGGAACCTTCGAGGAGCAGATGAGGGCAATTGATTTGATTTTGGCTAAGCTTACGGAGGACGACCATTACTCCCAGAATGTACACTCCCCATATTCATATGCAGGTAACTCAACTCAGTACTAGCTTACTTAGGTTTGTTTTCATCCTTGAAGTAATGAAGTTTCTTTTGTTCTCATGTTTGCATGTCTTTGATTGCATAGTATTTATTCATTTAGGAAAGCAGTGGAGTAAATGGTTAGATCATTTTCGAACTGTTCTTTGAATCTCATTTGTTATATGGTAAAGACTGTTACCACACAAGGTCATGTGGACAATCTTTAGTGAGTTTGATTAGAGTAGGACTTTCTACTGAATGTTAGCTTGTCAGATGTCAACTAAAGGTAGTAATGTGTTAAATATCTTTTCATCTCACATGAGATTTCTTCCTATTTAGAGGATTGTGCATGACTTGTCTGTCGTTAAGCTTATTTTTCTTGTAAGTTCCTTTTAAATCGGCATTCTAGGTCTTTTCTACTCTGGTTTTCATGGTCATCCATATGCGTATGTGCTTCCTTCTGTTGCAACAGCGGGATACAATTCGGTTAACTATGCACCCAACTACGCTCCCAACGGTTCTGGAGGCAAGTATCAAAACCACAAGGTTAGTTTGGTGTATCAATTTGCATATACATGAATGAATAGCCTGGTGTATTAATTTAAACTGCTATGCATACATATGTGAATTTGTATCGTCCACCCTATTTATGTAAATGCATATATATGTGAAAATCTGGGTCGGTGTTACTATTATGGATTGTCGGAATCATTTACTATCTAAAAACTTTTAGGTGTACACCAATGTGAGATCTTCATCTCAGATTTTGCTAGGAAGTAGGTCTTTTAAAAAAATTATTGATGTTTTTAACGGAGGAAGTACTAGAATATGAGATTGTTTCTGTCTGTTTTGATCAATTTCTAAGCAGTGTTTTTGGTATATATTCCAGGAAGAAGCTAGTACCACGGTGACAATTGGTGTCTCGGATGAGCATATAGGATTGGTCCTTGGCCGTGGAGGAAGAAACATTATGGAAATCACTCAGATGACAGGTGCCCGAATAAAAATATCAGACCGAGGCGATTTCATGTCTGGAACCACTGATAGGTAACGTCAAACATCATTGGGAAGTAGTTATGACCGAACAATGTGTTAAAAATCTCATGTCTAAACCGGGTGAAATGGCAAAAATGACAGGAAAGTGAGTATCACTGGGTCACAGAGAGCAATCCAACAAGCTGAGACCATGATAAAACAGAAGGTTGATTCAGCCCTAGAGAGAGCCAACGAATAGAAGCGATAAAGAGTATCCCCATCTTGGTTCCTATCTCTGGTTTACTTTATTTATTGGTTGAGGCTTAAAAGCTTTTCAGATGGGGATCTCAAATCATCTTTGAGTGAGGCAGAGACTTCTCTCAAGGACCTGTGTTTTCTTCTTTTGTTTACTGTTTATGTCCTGAAGCAGATTTGGAGTTAGAGTACTATTCTCATTTGTTTTTTTAGTAACTTTATTTCAATTTGTTGAAGTTTTGTTTTCCTTGAGTTTTTTCTGTCTAACAATTTTACAATAAAACGAACCATTACATTACATTTGCTTTCGTTCATATAATCAACTATTAAAGACAAGTTTCAAGCATGTACCATTGGCCAAAGGTTCTTGAGCTATTATTGAAAGGATGGTTATACTTTTCCCTGTATCCCCTATATATTAATTGAGAAACATTTGAAAAGATGTAACCTCAATTTTGTATTAATTAAAAGAGGTCCCAATGCATAGGTGTCATTCAATTAGGTAGTCAATTAGATTCAATTGAAAAATAAGTAAGTCCACATTAGATTTTTATAGGTTGCTAGATACATTAGTTAGTCAAACTATATGATATAATGATATGATATGCTATTTTCTTTCCATAAATAAAACCTACGGAATTACCATAAATGACTAATATATATATATGACACTT